ATTATTGTAAATTAAAATTAGAATCCTAATTAATGTAAGTTAAAATTTCATCTTGGTTAATTATTACATTAGATATAGAATTTAAACTTCAAAAACAAAATGTTACAAAAAAACAAAAATTTATGTACTATATATTTAACATTTTTCAAAAGTTTAGGGGGCACACATCAACAACTAGAAAGATTTCTGTTAGTCTAGTTAACGGAATGTTTGTCAAGTAGATCATTTTAAAACAAAATTGATAGTTTATAAACCTTTTGAAAGAAAAAATTGTTTCTCGATTAAACTGAAATAAATCTCATAGTTAATAGATTATTTATTGAATTTAGCCGGCCTAATGAGATGCAAAAGTGAGAGGTAAAGATTAGTGAAACAATTTGTAAGTTAGAAATAATATTCCCCCCAACATTTTTCGATTCTATATAGCATCTTGTAATTCATCTTACATATGAGGCTAGAGTTGGTGGTCGTGTTCAATGTCATTGGATATACCCATCTACAAGGTTAGACATACAAAGAACTTGAAAATATTAAAACTAACTATTGATTAATTTTCAAATTAATTTTTTCAATATCTTCCTTTAGGCACATGTGCAAACTTGAAAGAACCATATGGAATAAAAATTACATAGAAGCATTGACTATTGAGGCATTTATATTATATGAGATAACTTATTTCTGCTTTTGTTATTATGGGGATGACGTTGATATAGGCTGGAATCAACTACCAAGGAACTATGGCCTCATTGGGAGTAACATCCCAGGTCAATTATCTATGTTTTATTGCCCTGGTCAATAAATAGGTGCACAATCACATATTTGATGCTTAACATTGGAGGAGAAAGATGTAGCTGAATTATATGTCTTGCTAAATTGCAAGGAGGTTAATGTTTAGTTAACATAAGTTTTACTCCTTATAACATAAAAGGCCAAGATGATTTCCATCAAGTCTTAATTAATAAATAACTATTATTTTTTTAGAAAATTTGATGAAGAGTTGGTGCAAATATGACCTCTAAACCACTATAGAGAGCTCGAACAAATAGTTTTGTTCGATAGTTTAAAAACATGGTAACAAATTGTTATAGGTTAAAACATCAATTTGATCCCTCAACTTTTAGATTTGTACCAAAATTGTCCTTCGACTTCAAAAAATACAAAAATTGTTCTTAAACTTTAATTTTCGATACCAAAATAGTTCTTTCATTAACAAAAGTGGCACATGACTTGTTATATTCCCATAAAATCTTTTTTTTTTTAATACTGATGACATGTAAAATCAAATAACTATATTTTTCCATCTTAGTATATTTTTATTTACATATCAATTGACATGCAATCAAAGTTGAAAGACCAAAAATTAAAGTTCAAGGAAATTTTTGGTACTTTTTAAAGTTGAAGGATAATTTTGGTACAAATATAAAACTTGAGGGACCAAATTGATATAACCATTATTATATACTATTTTCTCAGTTTTTAATTAAATATTAATAAATTAAAAATATTTAATGATAGTTGCTTAGTAGACAATATGAAATCAATGAAAAATTTATTCATCTTGTAGTTGGCACAACTTTGTAAGTAAATGTTTACAATGGGTACTACATTAATAGTTTTAGATTTTTGACTAAAAAGTTTACTAGTACTAAAAAGACATATAACTATGGTGTTTGTATTAAGAAACTACTATTAGTTATGAAGATGAAACTAATTATTATGGTGTCTTGAAAATGGTAATTAAGTTGTTATATCATGAACATTCAGGTCGATGGGTGATTGTTGTCTTGTTCAATTGTTTAATCGTAATGGGTATCACACAACACGGGGAATATGCATGCATGCTGAACACAAAATTGTCGATGTCAATCCAAGGTTCAAACTTTCAACAAGAGAGCCATTTTGCCTTGCTAATCAAGTACAACAAGTTTATTACAGTCCATATTCGGCCACAGATAGAAATACTCAAGGATGGTTGGCAACATGTAAAATACAATCTAGACATCTAATTGACAGCTCATCTACTACATCTTTAGCAAAGATTGATAACATTTTTCAAGATGATGACCCTTCCACAATGCAAGGCATTTTGTTGGCTATAGATTTAACTACATACCAATCACTCCAACTACATGCAGAAGGTGTTACAAAGTTTGAGGTTAATGCTAATACATCAAAAGTAGAAGAGGACAATTAAGAAGAAAAAGAAAAAGAAACCTCAAGAAATAGTGATGGCATTGAGAAGGATGATAGTGATGATTGGTTAAAACATTTGTTATCAATATAATATATAGTAGTACTCATTAAATATATGAATTAAAATTTTTCTACCTTATATGTATTGTTTATCAAGTTGTGTTCTTTCATTTTAAAATAGCATCATTGCATAATTGTTCTAAATTTATTATTCATTATTTTTATACCTGTATTAACAACTATTTTGTTATTCCCTTTTCAATATGTTTAGTAATATTACAAGTTCTGTTAGGAAGAGATCCTCTTCCTCAGGTTCTCAAGGGTGGCACAATCATGATCAATCACAAGTATTTACTAATGGTGGAGTAGCTCTTGATGTAGATCAAATAATTCATGATCCATTGATGGAGGATGTGAATTAGTTTACATTTGATCATAATGGTAAGGGCCGTTCATCCTTGAAGGGCAAAGAGGAAATGGCAGGAATTTGAAGGGCTTATAACCTCCAAATAGTAGAAAGGCTAGGAAATGGATTCAACTGACTTTTGATAAGCCGTAGGTTGCTAATCCCACCTTACCTTGGGTGATCACTTCCTTATGGAAGTCATGTTTTGATAGTCCAACTTCACATTTGAGCATCTTCCCCATAAGAAGCCCACAAGAAGATCAACAAAATTTATAATTGTTTCAAAGAAAGATTTTTATTTTAGCAAATCTAATAAAATTAATGGATTTAGCAATTTATATAATAAAAATAAATTATTTAATTACCAAACTAGAATTTTTATTTTTCACAAATCTAATTTTATTCATTTCTTGTTTTATAGGCATTTTACCAATGGCCTCTTGCAAATAATCTCCATGTACAGAATGCGTTCTTAAATTTTATGAAACATAGGTGGAGTGATAACTTTAGGGATGAGAGGTTAAAGTGGGAAAAGGACTTAACTTACATCCCATGTTGGATCCTAGCTCATATATGGTCTCAGTTACAAGAATATAGGAACTCTGATGAATTCAAGATGCTTAGTGAAAGGGAAGCAAAGAACAGGAGGTCTAGGGAGAGGGTGACTCACACTATTAGGCCTATTAGCTTTGGCCTCCATGAGATGCGGATGGTAATCAAGTATAATTAATAAAAAATATATAAATATTAGATTTTATTTAATGATAAATTATGTGTTAATTTATACTAATCAATATATTGCATTATAAATATTTTGAAATATAGACTGAATTTAGAGGTGGTGTGCAGCCTCCCCATCAAGAGAAATACAAGGAAACACATACCTTTAGAAAGAAGATGCCAAAGGTCTATGAGTAGGTATGGATAAATGAAAAAGCAAAGTACTGACATATAAGTATATATAATTTATAAATTATATTAAAATTTATAGTTATAAGTGCCTACAAATTTTATTTAATTAATCTAAAATTGTTTAGCAAAGTTTATTTTTTTTATAGATTATTTTTAAACTACCTTTAAACAACAACAACAACAACAACAACAACAACAACAAAAATAATATTGTTATAGTTTTTAGGATACTTATGTCAAATAGTGCATGGAAACCCATGGCCCCAATGTCAATTTGTAGCCACACATAAATAACCAAGCATGGGGCAATGCTCTTGGAGGTTGCTCCTCCAATTTCATGTTGGGCATTGGGTCACAAGTAAATCTAGAGCATGTTGGATTTACTTATAGGAAGAGACAGCCTCGAGACAACTTGATGACTGTGATAATGATGACTTGCTTTACCATGGAGCAAGCATGCCTGAATGAGCTTGTGGTGAAACAAAATGAAGAGTTAGAAAGGCAACGTCAACAAATGACTTTAACACAGCAACGGCTAGCTCAAATGACACAAGCCCAAAATAACATGAGCCAAGCAATTGCACTGTTTGTTGTGGCAACTCTTGTTGCTTATAACATTTGTCCCTAGGCAAGTCATCATCCATTTGCCCCACCATAGCCACCACATAGCCAAGGCTCAGGTCTCCACCTTAATACACCTTTCGCCTGCTTTATTGATTCCATCTAAACTTTTCCCATATTGCCTGGATATCATTAACAGCTTCAACCTCAAGACAATGGTTACCATCTTATTTTTTATCCAAACTATTAAGCTTCTTAGGTAAGTTTTCTACTATTTTTTCTACATACTTTGCATGATTGCCTTTATTTCTATTAATACTTTTAACTACTGTTGGGGTGTGCTAGTGATGTAAGTTGATAAGTCAGCGACGGTGATGATGTGGAAGGCTAACTGGGATGACACCCGAGGAAAATGAGGAGGGTCTTTTTGGTGGCACCCGTCTCACGTGCAAGGGGCTATGTGCTTCAGGCCATCTTGTTCCTCTTAGCGATGATAACCTCCAGTGAACTTTCTGGCAAAGTTAGAAATATAGTTCTTCCAACCAAGCCGGTAGAGTTGGGCAACGGTGATAAAGTTTTGGGAATTCAAGATGATTACACAACTATCAAATATAATGGGAAGAAGATGTATATCGTTGAAAAGGCGACAAGGATGGACAACATGTGAGGCTCAAAAGATTACAACTTAAGAATTACATTTATGCATATAATATGGTGACATAATAGTAATGACAATAAATGTGACCTCTATTATCTTTAGTAAATATCTTCACTCTATAACAAAGAACTCTCATGTTGAAAAAAATGAGTGCAACGGTTCTCCCTTTGAAATTTACTCAAGAACGAAGAAGGGTTAAACTTACAATTGGTGATGGGAGAAGGAAGGGTGACTGCTTGGGAGCTTGTGTGTGGAGTACTTGATCTCATTTTTTATGCTACCTTTGCAACTTGATCCTTTGATGCTCAAGAAAAACTACCTAGAAACTAAAACTGAAACTAAAACTACAACATGTTGCCTCCCAGCCATGCTGTTCTATAGGTCTGGAAAATATTCTATAGTATTGGAAGTGCAGAAAATGTGAAGAGAAATGGTGATTTTTGGGTGTTTTTAGTGCATAGGGTGGTAGGTTGAGGATGAAGTATTTTTCAGAGGAAGAAGGGAAGTCTAGAACGTGAGAGGGAGATTGAAGTTGTGAGAAAATTTTGTTTTTTTTTTTTTTTGGTACTGCGTGTGTTTTTCTTGGAAAATGAAGGAAAGATAATGTATATGTGCAGTAGCATTGTTGTAATTTCTGGTTGAAAGCTTAGAGATGTACAGATGGATTTAGGTGAGTTGTCAAATTTTTAGTGGCTTTGGGTACTATTAGTAGCTTTATAGTAGTGGCATCATGAATTGCCTAGTGGTTCCAACGAAGCTTTGCTGGTTCTGGCAAAGAATTGAAAATTGAATATTTCTGGTAATTCCTCCAACCATACAAAATCCCATTTTTGGAGAGGTGCTTGAGTGCAGTCGTAAAAAACAACACATGCACCAGATTTAGTAAGTTCCCCAAGCTTTGCATGGGATTTTTGGAAGTTCTACAAGCAAACAGTAATCTTTTGCAACAGTTTCCAATACCATGGAACTTATGCAGCCACCTTTGCATTAAATATGGCTGCAAGTTGCTGATGGTGACCAAAACAACATCTCTGGTTAGTTTTTAATGGGATTTCCAAGCTCTAGTTAGCATCAAATGGTATTGTTCTAGGAATCAAGTTTACTTCCACGTCTTCGCCACCCAACCTTTTCTAGCGAAGTTGGGCAACATTGCCAACGCTAAACTTCACTAGTGCGAATGCCTTGCTTTGCTAAACGGGCAGCGTTCACCCATCAATGCTAACCAAGCCACTACTCCCATAGTTTATCCCGAGTAATTTCCATGAGCTTGGATTCATGGGCTTGTGTTTATCTATAGTACCAATAAGGCACATGTAAAGATATGTTCAAATATTTAAGAATAAGAAATATATAAACATATGCAACGAAAAAGGAAACTCCTTTGTGTGTTGAAGGGGACTATGTGGATGAATATTCGCTACTCTTATTTGTTTGTTGGCCATGGCCGGCACTAGTAATTGTTGTTGTACATGGCTGGCATTGCGCCAGAATAAGGAACAAGTGATATGGGTGTGTACTACAATATCGTTGTCCCAAGCCAAGCTTCGCTGGTCAGTGATACCTACTAACACATAAGACATAGAAAATATGTGTTATAAGTTGGAATTACCAACAACCGATAATTTTTTCCCTTTGTGTAGAAGAATGATAATGTGCATGACCGTGGCCATGTTATATACATATTGCGGGGTCAGCCATGAATAGCTTCTCCATAGCTAGAAAGACAATAGTGGCTAGCTTTGCCCATGGCTGGAGTGTGAACTATGTGGAATCGAAAAAGTACTCCCATTAATCCGCCAAGTTGTGAAGGGGTAAATCTCATTAAACTAGACTCTGCCATAACGATGAATATGTATAGAGAGAGGTGGAGTTGTATCCGTGGAAAGGGGACGCCAGTTGCATCCATGGCCTCCGATACAACAAAGTGTGATACCACTAACAAATGCCGGCCCTTCTTGCCATGCCCGCACCATCAGAGGGTGGTCTTGATTGTTGTTGCCTACCGAGCACCACACCACCATGCATGGGCGACCATCAAGGGATCGCCAACTGCTACTCAATGGATTTTTATCGTTGGAGGGTAGTCATCCCATCCAATCGCAGGATTGCAACTGTTACCGGCTTCACGCTAATCATACCAAGTTGCACTGACTTTTTGTCCGTTTTTGGGAGCCAATGAGATAGAATATGTAAAAAACCAACCCTTTGTCCATTGTCGGGAGCCATAAGATACAGTAGTGAATATCGTTGCAAAAGACATGACCGTCAAGAAATACCCAGCCATGTCGCTGAAATAGATCTAACCATGTCTGGCCAAGTATGCAAAAATAAGTGTTGGAGTGAGTTGCTCTACAATGTTTCTAGTGAAGTGAATAAGTGTCATTTTTAGCAATGTTGATTCCATTGCAGCAATTAGTAGAAAATAGGAATTGCACGTCTAATGTGGAAAATAAGCATGCCTTTGCTGATGTGGAAAATAAGCATGCCTTTGCTGATGTGGACCCGCACACGTCATTGGTTACGCAGCCATATAAATTCATCCCTCAACATTAGCCCCCTAAGCGGACGAAGTTGTGACAACAAGTTTGGCCGCTTGGTGTTGTGGGAAATAAATCATCGGAACAATCTCCATATGATCACGAGTGTGCAGGAACAATATAGAAATCAAATAATCAATGTGAATCCTTCTGTTAGAGCCGATATGATTCACAAGACTTAGGATTACCTAGACTTACTTCTAGCCAAGTAAGTTGCTAATGATGAAATAACTTCAACAGAGGCAAGATTGTATGAAGTTCAACCATGCAGAACAGCAATGAGCATAGACGAGCCCAGTCTGACTTGGCTATTATTGATGAATGAGGTTGAAGTATTAACCAAGAAATTTGATGCTGCTAGTAAAATTTTAATACATACTTGGTTAGACACAGCCAGGGAAGACTCCAACCGTTGGTCCTAATGCTGTTGGCGAAGTTTCAACATGGGTGAGAATCAAGCAAGGTCGAAGCAAAACTCCAGTCCAGAGATTCAAAGTCATTGGGAATAGCAAATCTCAAACACGTGTGGAGTAAAGCCAAAACCAACCAAGATGATGGGCAACATGAACAATACCAATGAAATATTCATAGAACTACTCTAAATAGGAAAAATTATTCTCGTGCTTGGTCGAACCCTTCTTTGAAAATTTTACCAAAATAATTTTCTAGGGAAACTTAAGTGTGATGTAGAGTGTACCTAGCAGTGACTCCGACTGATACAAGAATGAGGCCGTTGAGCAAGATTTCAATCGCATCTTTCCTAGAAATCCTGTGCGAGTTGCACCACTTTTCTTCTTGGAAAAATAATATATTATGAATAGCTATTGCAAATTTCTTTTGCACTATTCATGTGCAGTTCAGATCTGAAGAGAAATTCACAACTATTCCCCAGGGAAGTTTTCAGCAGTTAAAAGAAAAAGTAACCCCCCTTTTGAAAAATAAAGAAATTGAATCTTCCCCAAAAATCCTGTTATGATGGCACATAAAAAGGGGAGATTTTAAAGGAGATCACATATAGGCATATGCATTAAAACAATGTGCACCTTACTTGCCTCCTCTTTAATAATCTCTGGCCATGTTGATGTGCGACATGTAGCAGAGTAGTTGGCCAGTGCACTTAATGCTGCCCTTAATCTCCCTTTCTACCATTCTCCTTATTCCTTAATGGGTCTTTTAGTTTCCTCTTTCTTTTTCACAAAATCGCTGAACCCTTCTCTCTCTCCTCTACGTCCTTGATTTTCATCATTTTCTTCCACGAAACTTCTAGGTTTCTTAACAAAGTGACCGGATTCTTCCCGAGAAGGTTAATCTAGTGTGCAAATCTGATAAAATCCTTCTTTTAACCGAGGTAATGATGAATCTTGATCTTTCTTTTTTTTTTTTTTCTTTGGTTGCATGTTGCAAATTTCTCATGCCTTCATTGATCCGAATCATTGCTTTGCTTCCTCTTTTCTTCTCGAAGGAAGCCTTGGAAATGGCTGATCCTTATTCGACTGACGGAGTGTAGCTGTATCACAACCTGTGGTATACTTTCCAAGACGGCTTCTCAAAATTCAACGCTTGGTCAACGAGAAGGGCGCTTGAGGAATAAAAAGATCTAGTTTTGTTTGAGGCTTTTAAAAGGGGTGACATCAATGCAACATGGTTTCCTTTGTTGTGTAACGTTATGCAACCGAGGCTTGAAAGACAAGACTTGCTGGCTTGAAAGACAAGACTTGCTGGCTTGAAAGACAAGACTTGCTATCGATACCCATTCACTTTACCTTCCCATCTAATAAGATGGAAGATTGGTCGAGTTGGGCTAAGGAGATGCTTGTAGAGAATGGCTTTGTGGAAATATTACTTGCTATTGGGATCTTTAAGTCGGTGGCTCTGAGTCAAACTCTACGGATTAGTCGTAACGTGGAGTGCCTCCGTCGTTTGGTGAGGAGATGGTGCATGAGTACTCATACTTTCATCCTCGCTTTTGGCGAGGTCACTATGACTTTAGAGGATGTGGCAAACTTGATGTTGTTGCCTATTGTGAGGTAAGAAGATCCACGGCACATAGCATTGACGTTGGAGGAGCATGCCACACTAGTAGCTTTGAAAAAGGTGATGAAGAAGAATGCCAATGCTTCTTCTCATTCATGGAGGGGAAAGTACAGCATCGATTTTTCGACATGGATACGTTACTTTCAAATTGGCAAAGGTAAAGATAGCCCGTATGTGCGTGTAGCTTTCCTTACAGGTTGGTTGAGTACGTTTGTCTTTGGGGGTTTTTCGAACCATGAGATTATGGCTGAACGCATTCCTCTGGCAATTCGATCAACTAAAGGTGTAAGGCTTCCTTTGGCTCCGCTAATGTTAGGTACGCTTTATCATATGCTTGATTTGCTCTACTTTGATGAGATTCTTGGTGCCAATTATTACATCATTGAGTCGCATGTGTGTCTGTCTTTGCTACAAATGTTTGCATGGGAGAGATTTCTCCCATATCACTCTAGCTGCGTTACCAGTGGGAAAGCATTGAAGGAGTACCTTATGGCGAAGTGCGGTTACATTAGTAGAATAGCTCCATTAGCTTGTTCTTGGGTAGGAAAAAGGAAAATAAAGGGGTAGATAATCCCAGAGGTTGATGGTCTTCTTGATGACTACGACAGCTTTAATTTTCATGCATACAAGATAATGCCCGAAACATTTGTTCCACTCAAAGTGAGCCTTTTTGACAAGAAACTCCCAGCAATGCTAGGGAGTCAAATTGTGAACTTTGCCGTATGAGACTGAGGTCATCTGGAAACGCTAGCAGTAGTTACGCCATCCATGTTGTCGTGTATTACATCGCGGGGGGCATGCAGCTTGGAGTGTTACTACCCCCCAAAAAAGGGTTGCAAGGCAATTTGGCTATGATCAAGACATTCCTCTTACTCCTTCTTCTGACAAGACAAATTAGAGTAAGGCCATGCGACATATAGAGGTAACCCCTGTTTCTAAAATGAATGAGACTTTTTCTGTCTGTGTAAAGCTGCTATTGATGATGTCGAGAGCATAAACTTTTAGGACAGTGCCATCCGCACACACTTGTCAAATTTGGCAAAGGCATACCTCAAGAAAATTGAGTTTGGCATGGCCGGAGGTGACATGGTTGAGAGCTTGAATGAGCGAATTAAGGAGCAAATGAACCATATCAAAGAGATGGAAAAGTCCTTAGCCGAGATGAAAGAGCTTATCATCAAACTAGAAGAAGGACTGGTGTCAACCAAGGCATACCTAGGATCACTCAACCAAGAAAAAGAACATCTGAACTCCAGTAGTGTGACTGAGCTTCGCCAAGCCTGTATGGAAGCTGCCAAGGCCTTTGGAGACGAGACTAGCCCTTTCCTGCCATAAATCAACCTCATGTCCCAGTTTTCTCTTCATCTTTTATTTTTTTTTTCCTTTTTAGTATGTTGACTGTTAGCGATGTTGCCATGATGTAACCCTTTAGTCATGTTTCTTCCAAGTTTGTTGCTTGTTGATTTTCTTGCTCATTTCTTCCTACTATTCTGAATATGTCAACTGCATAAATAAATTTGCGCTAAAGAAATGGGTCAAGGAGGCTACTTTTTTATCAAGTTATATGATGCACTTCTTTTTTTTTTTTTTTTTTCTTTTCTTTTTTTTTTTTTTTTTTGTGTGAACACTCCCTGTCCTTTTACAATGGTAGAGCAAAATGAAAGGAATGCAAATAGGTTGATACATAAAGTGCCGAATACAATAAGAGAATGCTATTTGCACCTTACATTTGATGATATATTATGAATGAAATTAATTCTCTTGGCTGGAATAAATGACAACACCAGAGATAAAACTACAAAAATAGATGAGGTTGATGAAGCCAAACAATAATACAGCTTAAGCCATTTAGTATTCACAAGATTTGATAACGATTCTCCCTTGTGAGTTTTGAGATTATAATATCTTCTATCATGTGCTTCCATGATGATGAAGGGACCATCCCAACTGGCAATGAACTTGGATGGTCCAGCAATGTTCTTTCTTACATGGTCAAAGGCTTTAAGAACCATTTGTCCAACTGTGAAAACTCTAACTTTGATTGTACGATTGTAGGCATTTGTCATCTTGGCTCGATATTTTTGAGTCTTTTCTTATGCCATCTAGCGAAGCGCTTCGATAGATTCCAAGTCATCAATTTGCCTTTGGCCACAAATGTTAGCATTGCTATCTAGTTCGAATGTAGTTAAGATGCACGCAGTTGGCACTAAGACTTTGTCAAGAAGGACAGCATCATAGTCATATACCAGAAAATAAGGCAAAAAACCTATAGCAGTCTTGGATAATGTTCGATGGGCCCAAAGAGTGCTACAAATGAATGCTTCATCCTCCTTCGTACTCATGGACCATCTTGCTTAAAATCCTTAGCAAACTTTTGTTAGTTGCTTCTACTTGGCCATTGCCTTCAGGGTAGTATAGGGTGGACTTTTGATGCTTGATCTTATAAGTGTCCAACAATCTTCGCACATGTTGATTAACAAAAGGGGTTCCATTGTCATTTACAATTTTGTATGGAATCCCAAAACAGCATATTATGTGCTCCTTGATAAAGTTTGACACCGCTAGGCCTGTAGCCTTGCGAAGAGGGACAGCCTCTGCCCATTTGGTGAAATACTTGGTGGCCACCAGTATCTAAATGTAACCCTCAGATGAAGGGTGAATGGGATCAATGAGATTAGGATGGGAATGGATGAGACTAGTATGAACCTAGCAGGTGTGGCATCGCTGGACGAAATCTATAGCATATTGCTTCATACTTGGCCAATAATAACCATGAGCTAAAAGTTACTCATACAGCTTTCTTCATCCTTGATGCTTGCCGCATTCCCCTACATGTATTCCACCCATGACTTTCTTAGATTTTGTTAATGATAAGCAGCAAAACGGCTTCATTGGTATGAAACAAAACTCCGCCATCCATGAAAAATTTCAACAAAGATCTCTTTAGATTGTGTGCATCCTTCAAGGATTCTAGCCATATTCCCTTAGCAAAGTACTCCATGTAAAGATGGCGCCAATCTTGAACATTGTCAATAGAGAAGCATTCTTCATTTTGATAATAAGTCTATTGACAGAAAACACATTGATGCTGGAATTCAGTGGATTGCCGAGCCATGTTTGGCCAATAGTACCCTGCTCGTTGGACCCAACGATAGAGGCTCACACGACTATCGTGGCCATTTGTGTGATCATGAATTTCCCTAAGTCTATGATAAGCCTCCTTATTGTTGATGCACATAGCCAAGATTCTGTTAGGGAGGCGATACTATAGCTTATGAAAAATAATAACATAGCTAGATAGGTCCTTCAAAGGCACATTAATTGCATACCACTAGTTGGCACGGTTAGGTAAGTCAAGAAAAACAGATTCACAAGCACAATAGATAGGTTGCTCTTTTTGGACAATTTGGATGCTGAAGGGATTCTCGGCCATATGCACCCTCAAAGTGATTGTGGCTAAGGCATCAACCAATCGGTTCTCCATCCGTGGTACTTGCTCATATCTTATGCTGGCAAAGGACTACTCCAGGTATTGGCTGGAAGAACGATATGGCGCGAGATGTTCTTCTTGAACAGCAAAGGTACCTTGAACTTGGCGAACGATCAGACCTGAATCGCCAATGATTTTCAAGTGCTGCATACCAACCTCTTTAGCCATAGCAAGGCCAATAAGATAAGCTTCGTACTCTGCAGTGTTGTGTCATGCATTGAAAATCTAACTTAAATGAAAATACCGTATCATGGCCTTTGTCATCTCTAAGAACAACACCAGCCCCAACCCCTTCAACCATGGAAGAACCATCGAAAAATAATGTCAATTCTTCCTCAATCTTTTGTGCAGTAACAACCTCACCACCTGGGACTTCGTCAGAAATAGGATACTGGATTTCGCCAGAAAACTCAGACAGCATATTTGCAACAACTTGCCCCTTTATGGTAATGGGATTAATGCATGTAATATCATATTGAGACAATTGAAGGAGCCAATTAGCAAGATGGCCAGTGAGCATGGGCCGTGTTAAAAGGTATCGAATGGGTTAAGACTTGGTGATGAGTTGTATCTTATGAGCTAAGAAATAATGTCGAAGACGCTGAGATACATAAATTAATGCAAGGCGGATTTTCTCAACAAAAAGGTACCTTGACTTGGCGCCCTTGAGGTTTCAACTGACATAGTAGACCGGTTTCTCCTTACCTTCTTGGTCATCTTGGGCAACCAGTGCACTCACAGCTTTGTCAAAAGTAGACAAATAGACTTCAAGTGGTCTACCTTGGATGGGGACAAATATGGTTGGCAGTCTAAGCATGAGATCTTACAGATGTGAAAAGGCATGTTGCTGCTCTATTGTCCATATGAAAATGGCTTCTTTCTTCAACAAAGGCCTAAATGCAAATAGTATCTCTAGCAACAAAGGGATGAATCTGTTAATATATAAGACCTCGCCAACGAAGCTTCATAGCTGTTTTAGATTCTTAGGTGGCTGCATGGCTCAGATAGGTTTAGACTTAGCCAGATCGACACTGATATTGAAACTTCCCAGCGGAGACACCAAATTCACACTTCACTAGATTGATTTTCAGTTTGTATAAATGCATTTGTCGAAGACTTTTCTCAACACATGAAAATGGCCCAATCTTGTTCTGGAGTTCACCACAATGTCATCAATGTAGATTTCAATATATAGGTGGATGAAATCATGAAAGATTGCCACCATGACTCTTTGATAAGTAGCCCCAGTATTTTTGAGTCCAAAAGACATAACAACATAGGAAAAATTGCCAATAGGGGTGCGAAAAGCAGTTTTCTCTACATCGTTAGGGCACATACTAACTTGGTTATATCTGCTGCTGCCATCCATAATAGAGTACATTTCACAACCAGCGATGTTGTCCATTAGCACATCCATGTTCAAGACAGAGAATTCATCCATAGGGCATGCCTTGTTGAGATCATGGAAGTCAACGCAGCACCTAATCTACCCATTCTTCTTTCAAACTGGTACAATATTGGCCAGCCAAGTAGGCTTCTTTGTTGGTTTGATGAATCTTGCAACCAAGAGCTTCTCAACTTCTTTAATTTTCAAAGTAACCTCTAGATGGAAGGTGCAATTTGGCTACACAACCGACTTCATATTAGGATCAACATTTAGAGAATGTGCCACTAAGGTTGGATCAAGCCCCGACATTTCATCATAGTTCCAAGTGAAAACATCCTTATATTCTCGGAGCAAATAAACCATCTGTTTAGGGGTGTTGGTGATGTAGGTTAATGAGTCAACAGTCGTGATGATGTGGAGGCTGACTAGGATGCCACCCGTGAATGATGAGGAAGGTCTTTTTGGTGACAACCGTTTCACATGTAAAAGGCTACGTGCCATGGGTTGTCTCATTTCGCCTAACGATGTTGGTCAGCAACAAATTCCTTAACAAAGTCTGAAGGTGTAAGTTTTCTAGCCAAGCCGAGAAGAAAAGCTAGCAACGACGATAGAGTTCCAAGATGTCTAGCGATGTTGGTCAGTAGCAAATTCCTCAACGAAGTCTGTAAGTAGAGTTTCTCCAACGAAGTTTGGGAGTAAAGTTTCTCCAACGAAGACCAGGAGTAGAGTTTTTCTAACAAAGTCTAAAAATAGAGCATCTCCAACGAAGTTTGGGAATAAAGTTTCTCCAGCAAAGTCCAAAAATAAAGCTTTTCAAACGAAGTCTGAAAATAGAATGTCCTCAGCTAAGCCAAAAAGAGTGGAGTGATGATGGTGCTCCCAGAATAACAAGAATGATTACACAACTATCAAAAATAATGAAAATGAAATATGCAATGCTGTAAGAGCAGCAAGGATAGAAAATATGTAAGGGTTAAAAATTATAACTTGAGAAGTACATTTTTACATAGTATATTGTAGCACAATAGCAAAAACAATGAATGTGCCTTCTATTATTCTTGACAAATACTTCTACTCCATGATAAGCAACCCTTACATTGTAGATAAAAGGCATAATGGCCTCCCTCAAGCTTTAACAAGACAAAAGGAATAAACTTAAAAGTAGTGATGGGAGAAGGAAGGATGACCATTGTGGGGGCTTGCAAAGGGAGGGCTTGATACTGTTTTTGATGCTAACTCTTCAGCTTGAACCTTTGAAGCTTATGAAGATAACCTAAAAAATGAATCTACAGTACACTGTCTTCCAGCCATGATGTTTTGCAAGTCTAGAAATTGTTCAACAGTGTTGGAAGTGCAGAAAGTATGAAGAAAATGGTGATTTCTAGATAATTTTAGTATGTAGAGTGAGTGGGTGAGCATGAAGTATTTTTCAGAGGAAGAAATGAGGTCTAATACGTGAGAGGAAAGTTGAAGTTGTGAAAATTTTGGTCTCTTCTACTGAAAAATGAAGGGAAAATAATATATATATGTGTGGTGGCTTTTTTGTAATTTCTAGGTTGATGCTCAGATGTGCACAGTGGCCTAATGGGTAGATTTTGGTGAGTTGTCTAGTTTTGAGTAGTTTTGGGCATGGCTGACAGCTTTTTGGCACCGATATTGTGAATTACCCAGTGGTTCTGGCGAAGCTTCACTAGTTCCAACGATGGACTGGAAATTGCCTATTTTTAGGAATTCCTCTGACCATACGAAATTCCATTTTTGGGGAGGTGCTTGAGTGCAACTAGCAAAATCAGGTTTGTCCAAGATTTTGGAAGATTCCCAAGGGCTACCCAAGATATTGGTATATTTTCAAGGTCTGACCAAGATTTTGGTAGATTTTCCCAGTGAAATCAAATCTTTTTCAACTGTTCCCTTGGCTAGGGAACTTGTGTAGCCACCCTTTTCAGCAATTCTCAACACTATGCAACCACCTTTGCATTGAATATGGTTGCAAGTTATTGATGGTGACCAAAACAGCATCTTTGGTTAGTTTTGAACGAGCTCCAAGTTTCTAGTTAGCACTAAACAGTATAGTTTTGGGGATCAAGTCTACATCCACGCCTTCGACAGCCAGCCCTTTCTAGTGAAGTCGGGCAACATCGCTAGCACCAAGCTTCGCTAGCACGAATACCTCACTTCACCAAACAAGCAATTCTCACGTATTAGAGATAAGCAATTCTCACCAAACAAGCAATTCTCACGAATACCTGCCAGGCCACTACTTCTAGAGTTTATCCCAAATATCCCCATGAGTTTTGATTCATGGGTTTATTGATGACCTGCATAAAGGAATAGTGGTTAGTTGATGAAAATGATGAAATTTAGTAGATAAGGAAATAATAAAGGAAAGAGACCTCCTTATATATTTTTGGCGATGCAGCAATGTATTGCAGCATTAGACATCGTTGGAACTTCTTTTGCATTTACGATGATGCAGCCATACACTGTAACATCAGATATTGCTGGGCCTAGTCATGTGTTGCACGTTGAAGACATTAATGGGTGCTTAGATCAAGGCGGGTCTTGGTGACGTGGAAACTACTTGAGTCCAAGTTTGACCTTTTACAAAAACATCCATCAACACCACCTTGGCTCTTTCATCCGTAGAAAGAGTGGTGCTAATATGTACATGGCTGGGGTTCGCTAGATCATCTCCAAGATCAACAACTTCAAAGGACTCTAGAGAAGTGAGTGTTGGTTGAGCTTCATGAAGGGTTGGCAGCTTGTCTAGCGGTATTAGATGATCAGCTTCGTTAGAAAAATCTAGATGCTCAGCAAGTATTTTATTTATAGCCTCAAGAGTGATGCATTTTGCTTCATTAGAGAGATCTCGTTTATCAATCAAAGTATCTCTCTTTGAAGTGAAGAATAAATGATCCGAAGACATGGCTACATTACTGGCAATGGGGCCATCTCACACATGGCTGAGAGGCCCCACGCACCTTCATCAAGTATATTTGATCTTCCCATTGGGAAGAACAATTCGTGTGCACTTTGGGCGCACTTAGAAAGTCTTTCCTACCTCATTCTTCTGCCTCTTATGTTCTAGGACACTTCGTAGATCAAGATCAAGATTATCTTTGATGTCGTTCCATGTTGGCAAGCTAATGCCACCTGGGCGAGATACTATTGCTTTGTCAGAAAGGGTGAACTCATCATAAAACGCAGCTTCAGCGAAGTGGGTCTCAGTCTGATCAAATGGCAATGAGTTGGTAGAGATGCGAAAAACATTTCAATTTAGACGACTCTTGACACATTGATGATAAGTAGAAGGAACAATTTTGTGTCAATGCAGCCATGGCCATCCCAGCAATATATGATAAGAAACTTCCGCATTAATAACATAAAATGTAGTTCGAGATTGGACTGAACCAACCTTTAATTCAAGCTAAATGTATCCAAGGGCATGCTCATTACTGCTACCGAAGCCAACAATGCTGAGTGAAGACCTAACAATTCTTTGCTGGGGGATTCCTACAACGATGATGGTGCTCAACGGTATCAGGTTGAGAGAGGATCATGTATCAACAAGTGAATACTTGACACCGACAAAGTTGATCTAAGCAGATAAGTAAAGAGTCTTTCTATGGTCAGGATATGGCGCCTCCATATCTTCGTTAGTGAATGTGATTGCATTAGAAGACTAAACATAAGCACAGCTGGCATGTACTTCAGCATCAAGCCATTCTCCTCTAGTCTCATTGGTGATGAAGAGTATGGCCTCTATGGCTCTTTGTCGTGCCTCAGTAATGAAACCAAGCTGATCAAATAACATCTTGAACTTTGGAGTTCGCTAGAGTGCACGGACAAAGAAGTTAGGCGTATCATCAGGGAATTTAACTATTGGTTCACTTGCTCCAACACTCTCCAACAAGTGAGAACATTGATAGCACCTTGGTTGTGGTGTGGGAGAGAATCTTCATCCACCCTTTGTCTTCTGTTTGGCACTTCTAATAGTCCTTCTGAAACCCGTCAATGATATATCCTTCTCAAGGAAAAATAGTCCATGGTCCCACGGTGGACAATGCGATGGTAGCGACAGTACTTGGGGTTGCACTTGTCATCATCGCTAGGCTCACGATGCGCCTGAGGTAGTGTGATGGCATCATCAGCGATCCACTTATCTATGAGCACATCAAGCTCTTCGACAGTGAGAGGAATAGGTGGTGGCGATGCCATGTCACGATCTCTCCTTTTCTGTCCTTGTCCTTGGCCCTTAATAGAGACAACCAAGGTATGAGTGGTGGTTTTCTTTTCTGTCGACTTCATTGTAGATTTCCCACTCAAGATGGCTTTGACAAAAATAGTTGTTCTCCTTACAGCATCGAGTAGCCTTGCAAACTGATTGATCTTGATGTTTTCAAGGACAGTGCGATATTCCAAAAACATGTTGTAAATGCAAATTTCCACCAAAAAAGACTCAGCATGGCCATCATAGCAATCAAGTGCCAAATCCCTAAATCTCTTCACGTAGATCATTAAATCCTCACCCGTGCATTGGCGAGTCTTGTGGAGATCAAGGATGGTGATGCGCTCTTCACTTTGAAAATATTTTTGACAAAATTGCTCCACCATCTTGTCCCAAGAACGGACAGAGTCGGGAAGCAGAATGGTGTACCATGTATAAGATTTGTCAAAGAGAGATTTTGAAAACTCACGTAGACACAAATCTCTATCACCGGTGTGAGCCCCCATAGCATCAAGGAACTTGCTAATGTGCTCCACAGCACTACCTTTCCTCCCATCATATTGCAAGAATGCAAGACTTTCATATTTCTTTGGGTATGGTTTGGACAGAATCTCCTTTTAAATAGGGCAGGTCACAAACGAACTAAAAAGGGATTGTCTCATGTTGGAACACTCCTTATTCAAGAGAGCAGTGAGGTCCGCCATGGTGACAAAACCTTGGGTAGAATCAGTTGCATTGGGTAAAGCTCCACCAATTCTAGCGACTGCGACTATTGGCGATGCTGAGTTGTTTGGTCGCGCAACAAAACATCCATTACCGTTAGTAGCCCCAATATGGACTTCCTACGGCTGGGAAGTTCCAGCCATATTGATTGGTTGTGTTGGATCTGTATGTTGGTGAGGAGCTAAGTTGTCCTTTGTTGGTCTTCGTGTAGGACCTAGATAACTTTAATTAGGAACGCAAGGCTGGGATCGACAATTCCTTGCAAGAGATCATTAAAAACATATGTTGATGGACACGACTACTAAACCTCCCATCCACCATCCTGGCCGGGCTCCTAATTCCCATCAGCAATGCAAGACGAGGTTGCTCTTGTGATAGGCATGGCCAGAAAAATTATGTTGAAAATAAATAAATATTGTTGAGGAAGAATAATAAAGAACTTATACCACTGAAGAAGAGCAGAATTGAATGAAGCTTTAGGACAACCTCCCCAATGAAGTCGCCATTTTTGTTAGGGGGTGCTAGTGATGTAGGTTGATGAGTCAGCAATGGTGATGATGTGGAAGGCTAACTGGAATGACACTCGAGGAAAATGATGAGGGTCCTTTTGGCGGCACCCATCTCACATGCAAGGGGCTACATGCTTCAGGCCATCTTGTTCTGCTCAGCAATGATAACCTCCAGCAAACTTTCTGGCAAAGTCAGAAATATAATTCTTCCAACCAAACCAATAGAGCTAGGCAGTGACAACAGAGTTTCAAGAATTCAAGATGATTGCACAACTATCAAAGATAATGGGAAGAAGATGTGTATCATTGAAAGGGTAGTAAAGATGGAAAACATGTGAGGTTCAAAAGATTATAGCTTAAGAATGACATTTATACATACAATATGGTGACATAATAGTAATGACATTAAATGTGACCCCTATCATCTCTAGTAAATATCTTCACTCTATAACAAACAACTCTCATGTTAAAGAAGAAAAGTGCAACGATTTTCCCTTTGAAATTTTTCAAGAACAAAAAAGGGTTAAGCTTAGGAGCGATGATGGGAGAAGGGTGACCGCCTATGAGCTTGTGTGTGGAGTACTTGATTTCGTATTTTATGCTACTTTTGCAGCTTGATCCTTTGATGCTCAAGAAAAACTACCCAGAAACTGAAACTACAGCATGCAGCCTTCCAACCATGCTGTTTTGCAAGTTTGGAAAATATTCTACAGTGCTGAAAGTGCAGAAAATGTGGAGAGAAATGGTGATTTTTGGATGTTTTTGGTGTGTAGGGTGGTAGATTGAGGATGAAGTATTTTTCAAAGGAAAAAGGGAAGTCTGGAACGTGAGAGGGAGATTGAAGTTGTAAGAAAATTTTGGTTTTTATTTTTTTTATTCTGCATGTGTATATCTTGGAAAATAAAGGAAAGATAATATATATGTGCAGTGACATTGTTGTAATTTTTGGTTGATGGCTCAGAGATGTACAGGTGGGTTTAGTTGAGCTATTAAATTTTTAATGGCTCTGGGCACTGCTAGCAGCTCTATAATAGTGGCATCATGAATTTCCCAATTGTTCCAATGAACCTTCATTGGTTCTGGTAAAGAATTGAAAATTGAATATTTATGATAATGCCTCCAACCATACAAAATCCCATTTTTGGGGAAGTGCTTGAGTACAGCCAGCAAAAACAACACCTACATAGGATTTGGTAGGTTCCCCAAGCTCTGCACGAGATTTTTGGAAGATTCTGCAAGCAAACAGTAATCTTTTGCAACAGTTTCCAAAGCCATAGAACTTGTGCAGCCACCCTTGCATTAAATATGGTTGCAAGTTACTAATGGTGACCAAAACAACATCTCTGGTTAGTTTTAAATGGGATTTCCAACCTCTAGTCAGCATCAAATGGTACTGTTCCAAGACTCAAGTTTACTTCCACGTCTTTACCACCCAGCCCTTTCTAAGGAAGTCAAGCAGCATCGCCAACGCCAAGCTTCGCTGGTGCAAATGCCTTGCTTCGCCAGACGAGCAACATTCACCCATCCATGCCTACCAAGCCATTACTCCTATAACTTATCCCGAGTAATTCCCATGAGCTTAGATTCTCATGAGCTTGTGTTTATCTATAGTAATAGCAAGACACATGTGAATATATGTTCAAATATTTAGGAATAAGAAATATATAAGCATATGCAGCAAAGAAGGAAACTCCCTTGTGTGTTGAAAGGGACTATGTGGATGAATATTTGCTACTCTCATTTGTTTGCTAGCCATGGCCAACACCAATATATTGCTATTGTATATGGCTGGCATTACGCCAGAATAAGGAACAAGTGATATGGGTGTGTACTGTGATATCGTTGTCCCGAACCAAGCTTCGTTGGCCGATAATACCTACTAACACGTAAGCCATAGAAAATATGTGTTATGAGTCAGAATTACTGACGATAGGTAATTTTGTCCCTTTGTGTAGAAGAATGATAATGTGCATGATCGCTAGCCATGTTATACACATATTGTGGGGTCAGCCATGAATAGCTTCCCAATAGCCAAAGGGACAACAGTGGCTAGCTTTGCCCATGGCTAGAATGTGAACTATGTGGAATCGAAAAGGCACTCCCACTAATCCACTAAGTCGCGAAAGGGTAAATATCATTAAACTAGACTCTGCCATAACGATGAATATGTATAGAGAGGGGTGGAGTTGTCTCCATGGAAGGGTGACGCCAGCCACATCCATGGCCTCCAATATGACAAGGTGTGATACCACTAACAAACGCTGGCCCTTCTTACCATATCCGCATCGTCAGAGGGTGGTCCTAGTTGTTATTGCCTGTCAGGCACCACACCACCATGCATGGGCAACCATTAAGGGACTGCCAGCTGTTACTCGATGGATTTTTATCGCTGAAGGGTAACCATCCCATCCGATCGCAAGGTTGCAACTGTTACCAACCTCACGCTAATCATACCAAATTGCACTAACTCTTTGTCCGTTTCTGAGAGCAAGTGAGATAGAATATGTAGAAATCTAACCCTTTGTCCATTGCCAAGAGCCATAAGATACAATAGTGAATATCACTGTGCAGGACATGACCGTCAAGGAATGCCCAACCATGTTGCCAAAATAGATCTAACCATGTCTGGCCATGTATGTGGAAATAGGTGCTGGAGTGAGCTACATTCTGCGATGTTTTCAGTGAAGTGAATAAGTGTCGTTTCTAGAGATATTGATTCCATTGCAGCAATTATTAGAAAATAGGAATTGCACATCCGATGTGGAAAATAAGCATTGTGGGCCTTTGCTGATGTGGACCCGCACACGTCATTGGTTACATAGCCATATAATAATTCATCCCTCAACAACTGCTAGCTTAACTTTTAACTTTAGCATCTTTTCATATTTTGCTTGACCTCCAATATTTATACACATCATTGGTTACGTAGCCGAAATAGATCTAACCATGTCTGGCCATGTATGTGGTAATAGGTGCTAGAGTGAGCTGCATTCTGCGATGTTTCTAGTGAAGTGAATAAGTGTCATTTTTGGCGATACTGATTCCATTGCAGCAATTATTAGAAAATAGGAATTGCACATCTGATGTGGAAAATAAGCATTGTGGGCCTTTGCTGATGTGGACCCGCATACGTCATTGGTTACGTAGCCATATAAATTCATCCCTTAACAACTGCTAGCTTAACTTTTTAACTTTAGCATCTTTTCATATTTTTCTTGACCTCCAATATTAATACTTCAAAAAGTATGAAATTTTGGATTGTTTTGGGGTTATTATGAATTGGATATCATATATGCGTTTAGGACAATAATATGTGGTTGATACTTCATGGTTGTGGTTGAAAAGGAATGTGGCTGTGGTTGAAAAGGCATAATTGCTTTTAGTATGGCAAAGTTGCAAAATATATGTTTTTCATTGTAAATGCAAGTTCAAAACAAAATTGACTTTTATCATATATATGGGAAACTCTGTCAAATTTTTTTCTAGAACTTACATCCACAAAATTGGCCAAAATGCAAGAAACCTATTGAATAAATTCAGAAATTGGCAAGAAAAGGGAAAGAAATATGGAAAGTAGAAACTGAGTTGGGCTATTTTAAGATACTAAGGTGTTTTATGTCCCTTTTTTTGTTACCAACATGTACCACGTCGATAATGTATTAATTTCCAAAATAAATCTTAGACTAACAAGATGTGACCCTTTACCAACATATACCACATCGATACATGAATAGTTTCCCAACAAAGTATTTGTTGGTGATTATCCAAAATGAGCAGGATATTTTCATATTTTTAGCTGCCAACTTTTTACTTTCCAACATGCATCTTGTCAATAAAGCAAAATTTTTGCATTTTTCCCTTCTCACTGAAATTGATTTAATGCCTCTGTATTACGTTGGTAAACTAAATTCTAACATCGTACACATAGGTGAAGGGCTTTATATAATACCAAAACTCCATAACCCGCTCATTTTTTCTTTCTTTCCTTCTTTTTTTTTTTCTTTCTTCTTTCTTCCTTATCTTTTTCTTCTCCTTTCGCTTATATCAAATGCTAGTGAATTTTTTCTTGTTTATAATTGCATTTTTTATGTTATTTTAGGTTCATTTCTTCTCCATCTCCTCTCTTTTTCTCTTTT